TATCCCAAGCTTTGCTTTGTCTTGGGATGTCCTGCAGAGGCCGGGGGCTACAACCTGAGACACACCACACACACACATAGCTAGATTTACCATATTTCAACATGGAAGTGCGAGCTCCGGCTCACACCAAATGACCAATAGGATCACAAACTATTGAAGGTTGCACCTCTGTCCAGGGCGGAGCAGCCCAAGAAGATAAAGTGTATTGAAAGAACTTAATTCGGGGTCAGTGGATGGAACTCCTGCGGGAGCTCTTTCTCTCTGATCCCAGCACTGTAAGGCCTACCTGTGATCAGACATTCAGTAAACTTTCTGCTGATTTTAAACCATCCTCTCCTGACGTCACTTCTCGTGCTTCCAACAAAAGAATTGGGTTAATTCCTAACAATATGTACTGAGCAGGACATTTTAAAAAATTATACAAAGTATGTAATAGACACACTGTTTTTACATTTTCCAAAGCATATCTTTGGCATTTTTTTACTGAAATTTCTTGTTGCATTATGGCCACCACAGTATGCACAGATGTGTGCATACTGTGGTGTTTTTCCATCAGCATGGGTCAGTCCTGTTGAACCAAGGTGTGCACGGTAGAACCATACTGAACTGGGGTGGAGCTCGGCCTCACTCGGCCCTGGGTGGAAGCAGGGCCAGCTGAGCCCGAGTCAGCACGATTTACCCCCTGCTGCTAGGAACAGATGGAAATGGAGGACAATCTGTGCCCACTCAGCACGGCATGATTAAAGTGGGCTGACCCCGCTGATGGAAAAACACCACTGGAAAGCCACCCTGAAGATGAAGGGGAGATAAGCACGGAGTATGTGCGTTATTTGCCAAGTGAACTGAAGATGTTTGCAGGTGAGAGTGCAAAGGTGTAAAGACAAGTGCGAAAACTACAGAGAAGCCTTTCACTCCCGCCATGTCATGTAGCATTACATCATTTGACAACCACAGCGTTCACTGAACAGAGCAAAAGGTAAAGATACTGGAGTTGGGGTGTGCTAATCTGGTTACTGAAGGTGGTAATTTCACACTGTTAGGTATTTTTAGTCAGATAGGAATTGGATAGATACTTTATGTATTAGAAATGTTTAGTGGAGATAGGATGTCTAGTTAGACTCTCAAATGCTTAGGCATGCTTATGAGTTTCTACAGGGTACATCTGGTCAAGGATAACTGGAGAGAAGAGTTGATGACTGTCAGCAGACAGGGTGTTTAATATTATTATTATGACATGTATAACTGTAGCCTTAGCCATAATATTTTCTTATATTTAATGTCATGACATGTTACTAGAGGTCTGTGAGAATGTTTTTAGCTACACACCACTTAATCAACAGACACACACACATGCACATTGATTTGCTTCATGTTTTGACTACTGCTAGGGCCAGCTGCAAAGCTGGCAACAGAGACGTCTCGGTTGACGTTTCTGTGTAGTATGGGGCTAGCCCAACCGAGGGGATATAATGTATAGGCCTGGTGGGTTCGGGGTCTTTCATCTTACATCTGCCTGCGAGCAGTTTGGAGGTGCAAGATACCTGAGCGTGTAATGTTAATTTTACCTGTGATCCCTTGAATAAATCAGCACTGTTTTGAAGTTACTTGGACTGTCTCGTCTCTCAGAGTTAGCAATGGTAACAAGAACCAAAATAGACCTTCAACACTCACTGTACTAGAGACAGAAATCTCAGAGACAAACAGACCAGAACTACATGCATGCAGACACAGCACCAGAGGGAAGTGAATAAAAGTTTTTGTCTGTAATTCAGTTAGAACAGTGATTTGACACTAAACAGCAGACAGAATTCTAGCACAGAGAATCAGCAGTATTGCTGTGAACAGTATTTATGAACCAGTTCCTTGAACGTTCCGGGTAACATCAAACTAACTGTGAGCCAACTCTTCTCCATCCTTTAGATGTAGAACTAAGCAGACAGATCAGGCATGTTCACAGCCATGGGGCAGAGGGAAGAGCATGACTGCAGTGCCATCTACTGACCACACTGTCTGTAGACACACAAAGTTACCTCTGTCTGTTCTGAGGCAAGGCCTTGGTGTCTACGGCAAACATCTTGGACACAAAGACGATGGCCGGGGCAGTTTTCTCACTTGAACACTGGAGAAACACTGAAAAAAAGAAACCCAAAAAGAGGAAGAACGGTCAACCATCTGAACGCATTACACAAGACAAAAAAAGTCATGTCATGTCCCAACATTGTTTGTTTTCAATATGCAATTAGGTAAAGAAATAATTTATCCAAACAAGGTATTCATTTTAAGATGATACAAAACAAAAACATCTTCTGGGACACTAGGAAGTGGACACTAGGAAATCAGTTTGATTTTTCCGTTCTCACACTGATTATTAAAATGTTGTGAACCATTACTTCCAACATCTTTTACATGTAAATTATCAGCCAACTGATCTCAGCAGCTATAAAGCAACACCTCACAATGAATGCATGAATATGACTGCATAATCCAAAATGAATATTAAATGCTGCTTTAAACATGTTAAAACATTGCAAAAATGTGAAAAACTTGTATGAAATTATCTACAGTGCAGACTACTCTCTTTTTTCTAATAATTTTTTAAAAGAAGTTCTTTGTTTTTTCTTTCCACAAATAAACTTTGGTTTGTTTAACAGGTGAAAACGGATGAAAAGTTACTCAGATTGACTACTACTGAAGGTCTGACTAAACCAGAGCACACTACCATGTCTTTAGCCAAGGTGCTTTCAACTAACTGACCCAGCGACCACCATTCTGACTAAGAAGTAACCTGAGGACCCCTGCTAAGGGGTGGACAATCTGGATGGGCACTATTTTAATCCTGAAAGTCACCTTGGCTTTTCTAAATGTTATATATGTGCAAATAGTTGATTATTCATAAACAATAAGTGCCTTCACAAGCCACCAGGGGGCTGCCAAGTACTGGGTGAAAACCCCTGCTTTAACATGTTTGTTTACATTTTGACAAATACGCCAGCAGTGGGAGTCAGAGCACCAATAAATATGGCACATGCTAGTGTGCTGGACTCCACGCATTGTCAAGAAGAAGAGACAGCCAAGAAACAGCCACAGAGGAGAAGGTCTAAAGAGCAAAAATGAAAAAGGGGTTATGCAAACAGACAAGGGCACCACGTTTCAGTGAGCTGTTTCAACGGCTGAGAGGCCTCAGAGAGTTGAAGGGCATTGAAAACAAGTAACATTACTAACATTACTGTTTCACACAACCAACTGGTCAGTATTGTTTTGTCCTGTCTGCTAGCTAAGCCCAGTTGGCTGGCAAGCAAGTCACATTTGTGTGTCAGATTAAATTACATACCTGGACAATTCAGCTCTCTGGTTTGCTCTGGTGGTGTTAGCTATAGCAGAAGAGTTTTGAGCATCACTGTCTGGAACTGGTATGCTGGCGGCTCATCCCCTCATGTCCTTACATGCTAGCTTTGCTAGATAGGCCTAACATTGCCTTCACTGTCAGCTTAGCTGCAAACAACTAACTCCTGTTAGTTTTTACTCCACTGTGTTTTGGATGTTGTGTTTGTGTGTCGTTCTTCATTTTATGACATTTCTATTATAATGTTTGTTTTGCTTCAACTATAAGGAGACATTCACTTGTTTTTTTGGCCAGCTAGCCTGGGTGTTACCCCAATCCACACCGAGCGCATTTCTACATGCGCTTTTAGACAACATGCATCCATGAGTTTAGAGGGCAGAGCTTCTGAAGGAGCACTGAGGGGAGGGGTGCATTGTTTGGCTACTGAGTTCATATATCAACAATCTCTGTCCAGTGTGGCTGACTCCCCCTTTAATTCAGTTGCATAGATCTAGTCAGTGTTTGTGCACGTGCATACCTTTTTTCAGTTCCTGTGTCTGTTCAGGCAATGAGTCGAATCGTCGTGTTCCAACACTCATCAGTTTCTCCACCCGCTCTGCTGTTATGTCTAATGGACTGGGAAGCTTCTCACATACCATTGCTACATTCTCTGCTAAAGAAAAGTACAAGCTACATGCACAAACATCTCCCAAAATGTTAAGGTAGTCACACAACAACCCACACACACACACACACACACACCACATAAAGGCACAGGGCAAAGGATACAAAGGACAGCCTGGGACACAGGTAACCACTGGCTGCAGATGGCTGACAAGAGGACTTTAGGGTCGGAGTGACAAGAGTCCCTGGCCATCACCTTTACCCCCAGTGATGTCACCACCTTCTCCACCTTCTCCTTGTCTCTGGTTACAAAACCATAACAGACATCTTTACAGAAAGAATGCGGGTATGGATAGCAACAGGTTCTGGGTTTCCAGGTCTATCCAGCTACTCTGTGGAAATATGGTCACAAATGTTTTATCACAGCGTAATATAGGCCAAGCTCTGTCACTCGTGTGAATTTCAGAGGCATGGTTACACCACAAAGTGGCAATGCTAAGTTTATTGACAATAACTGAAGTGAGGACCCTCCTGATCAATACCACCAACGTTAAATAATTAGAAATCTTGTCAGCTTCATTCAGTGTTTTTTGTTTTTAGCCAAACCAAATAAAAATGTCTCACAAACTGAAGTGTAATTAAAGATCTATATTTAAGAACCAACGGCAACATCAAAGTTTTAATAAAAATAATAATAATAATAATTATTATTATTATTAGGTCAAAGTGTATATTTGTCACATGCACAGTTAGGAAACATGTTTCCCTGTACAATGAAATTCTTACTTTGCCATCCACATGAATGCCAACTATTATTACTGTTGTTTTGTCTGCCTTTGAATTTGAGACGACAGATTGGATCATACCGGGCATGGATAATACCAGTCTTTACACATCTGTAGGGAGATGCTCTGCCATTCCTCACAGATGATACTTTTCAGTTGCTCCTCGCTGGAGGGGTTATGTTACATCCACTTTAAAATACTCCAAAAGTGTTCTCTGGTCAGGGTTTTCACTTTGACCTTGTTTAGAAATGTGAGATTTTTGCAGTGTGTTTGGGATGACGGTCATGTTGAAGATTCCTCTCCTCCCAAAATTTCCAAGACTGGGAATCACCTTTTCTTTCGGTATTTAGGGACACAAGCCCTGTATCAGTACACTTCCACCTCCATGTTTCACGCTCAGTACTATACAGTCACTGTGGTGTTCCTGGCCATGTCCACACCGAACATGCTGGACCCCATCTGATCGAAACTAATTTAATTTGGTTTCATCTGTCAAAGAGTGTGTTGCCAAATTTCATCTCCTTTCATGTTCATTGGCAAACTGTAATCTTGCAGTTTTGTACAGTTTAGTAAGTAACGGACACCGTCTGTAGAGGCTGACTGCATACAGCGTCCTTCACACAACACCAGTTATCACAGATATCTTATGCCAAAACAGATGAACGTACCCATCAGTTTTTCAATTCAAGGTTGTATAAACAGTAATTTGTGCATGGCATTAAGACATCCTCTGTTATTGACAGTAGCACTCTCCCAGTACTGCAGCTGTGTGTCATCTTATGTTCAGTAGCTAGTGATGACAAACAATGGCGCCGACAACAATAGCAGCCTTGCTTGTGCGAGCTCTCCTGTGTTTGTTGTTTTCCTTGTTCGGTCTTTTGCAACCCATCCCAGATTACTTTCACCAGAGAACTGTTAAACATCGCACAACTCACACCAAACTACCTCTCTCTGACTTTTGTGAATGAAGAATGTTGTGTGGACATTCCAATCGGAGCAGCTGCAATCTACGGGACATAGAGGAGACACCAGCCTGGTAAGTGGGCAGGCACTTTAGTCAGGCTTCGCCAGAGAGGGACCCAGATTCCACTCCTATCTATCCACGTAGCAAATCTCTGCTCCCTAGTCAACAAGAAGGATGAACTCCTTCTCATCAACAGGACCAACTCTGACTTTGCACGCTCTGCTGCTTTATGCTTCATGGAGACCTGGCTCAGGGACTCCATAGCAGACAGCACAATACAAATACCAGTTTTCCGGGTGTACAGGGCAGATGGCGTACTGGAGCTGTCTGGGAAAACGAGATGAGGTGGAATCTCAATCTACAATGGTGCTGTCACTGCCAAAGATATAAATATCTTGGCTTTGGGTTAGACGACAAGCTGAGTTTTAAATTCCAAATTGAGAAATTAAATGATTCACTAAAGCCTAGGCTTTCATTTCTATATAGAAACAAACTTAGTTTTAATGAGTTTCACAGGAGGTAGTTGGTACAAGGACCAATTTGATCTGTAATAGACTATGGCAATAAAAGTTACTGTACATACATGCCTCTGCCAAAACTGCCGTGTGACTCAATGTATCATGCTGCTGTTAGATTAGTTACTGCAAATCCATTTAGGAATCACCACAGTGAACTACAACAAAAAGAAGGTTGGCCATTGTAGTGGTTAAAAACAAACAAGGTACCAGTCCAGAGGTAATATGTAATAGAATAGTATGTAGTTCATATATAGATATTATTTGTAATAGTTATCCAACGGTGAGCTAACTGGCCGTCCCCTGGTAAGCTAGTGGTTAAGACGCAGCACTCTTGCCGCTGCGGCCCGGGTTCGAATCAGGGTTGCGCCAGGAAGGGCATCCGGTGTAAAACACGTGACAAATGTAAACATGTGAGTCATCAGTGTGACGATTTGCTGTGGCGACCCCTAAAACGGGAAAAGCCGAAAGTGACTTTCTTATGTAAGGGTGAGCTAAGTGTTTATGTAAGCTTGATCTGTTTCTCTTTTCTTCTCTTCTCTTGCTCAAGCAAGAATATCTTGGCTTATGTCTTCCTTGTTTAATTTATGGGTAAACATCCAGAGCAAATTCCTCCTTAAATGGGGAATGGACATAGCTTCAGCCTTATGTGAACGGTTCGTGTGCTCTGTTCATGTTTAGAAAAAGGAAAAGTGTGCTCAAGCCATAGAAGGCTGTGTAACTGTGAGAAGATAAAGGTTAGGACAGCTGTAGGTTAGGATGAGAAGGGGTGATGGTGCTGCAGTCGCGAGTGTGCTTTTTGGACCCGGCCGGGGGGACTTTGGACTCTGACTGACTGTACCCTGTGACCAACAATGACTGACTGACTCTGTGACAATCTTCTTATTTAATACTTTATCTATTCCATTGCAGGAGGAGTGATTCTGTTCTCTGTTTCCTAACTAGGGAGGTGGTGTGGCTTTGTACATAGATAAAAACCTCTGTTATGAAAAAGTCGAGAACATGTCAAGGGCAGTTGATAACTTGCTGGAGTGTGTGACTGTAGAAATATCCGTGGAAAAAAAGAAAAAGGTTGTAGTAAGCTGTATTTATAGAGCACCTGGAGCCAGCATAGAAAAATTTAATGACTGGATTGAGGAGAACTATTTCACAATAAGTCATAAATTAATGTTCATATGTGGTAACTTCAACATTTCTGTGTCAGATTAAATTACATACCTATGGTAATCATCTACCTGTATTTTTGGTTTATGACTGCCATTTTAGAAAAGACAAGCCAAAAACAAATCTGTTCTACAGGAGGGTGATTAATGAACAAGCTGTAAGGTGGCTTAAGGAGGACTTAGGAGGGCAGGACTGGGAAGCAGTTTACAGAGAGGAAGACTTAGACAAAGCATATGAACAATTTTTAAATATATTTAAGGAAGTATATGACAGGAACTGTCCTCGTAGGCAGTTGTAGTAATCTGATTATTCACAGAATCAGAGTATTGTTTTCTTTTGTTTACCAGAGCGTAGTTTGTCTTTATGGTGATGCAGTAAGGTATTTGTTCCCATCACAAGATAAATCATTAGGTAATTTCATCGTCAGCAAACCTGGACAATTGTTCCTGCTCCGACGGACCGCAGAAGAGTTCTGGAGGGACCCATGCTGCGAGGGAGTGAGTGAAACGGTGTTGCCAGAAGACGAGGCTTAGAGGGTTGAGCCGAGCCAGCGCTGTGGCGTATGTGTGGATTGCTCCGCCGAGAGCCATAGGGAAGCTGACGGTGTTGCTGGCGGAGACTC